ATGATCTGGTTGATCTGGATCTATAAAGTGACCTGAGATGACATGATGTGAATCTATAGAAATAAACTGAATAGAATAACTGAATTGCTACTGAGGAGGACATAAATCTTTGAGACACAGTTGGTCCTGAGGACTGAATCATCTTACATTGATGTTTTTGAACCTCCACCTCAATGAGGAGAACGTAGAAACTCCATGCTGGGACTTGAACTATCAACCTACTTGCTGAAGGACATCAGCCAGTAAGATGCCATAAAACCTCCAATTAATGTTGAATATATTTAATCAAGCTAAACTTTGACTAATTCATTTCCTCGCTACAGACTAAAGAAATAGACTCATGTAAAGATGAACCCGCTCCAGTTCAGCAGCATGCGTCCTTCACCGCCGATAACAAACTAATAAATGTGTTAACAGTTATAGACATGGGGAGTGTTGGCCTAGTGGGCAGAGCAGTGCACTCTGAGAAGGATGCAGTACCCGGATCAATCTCCACAGCCTTCATTCTGGGTCCCTGAGCAAGACCCTTAACCCCACACTGCTCCCTGGGCGCCGCACAATGGCAGCCCACTGCTCCCTAAGGGGCGGGGTTAAATGCAGAGGTAATTTTCTCCAGAGTGAGATTAATAAAGTTCTATTATTATATATTAAATTAATTCTTACTGGTTTAATTCTTTTTTTTTCTTCTTTTTTTTCTTTCTGAAATGCAGTTTCTGCTGTAAAAATGTAATTTTGCAGCTGGAGATCTGAGTTAAACGAACTAAAAAGCTCAGGACAGATCAATTCAGAGTTGAGTCTGAGTTTGTTAAACCCGCTGCAGGAAACAGGCGGCGTAATAAATGCCACAACATCAATATAAACTGAAAAAGATCCTAAATGGATAGAAATATAACAAACAGAAATGTAAGGAGGAGCTAGTCTGATTTTCCTGGTTTCTTTTCCAGGACTCAGTCCCTCACATTGCTCTGGTGGCTTCTGGTGGAGGTCAGAGGGCAGCGGTGGCTCTGCTGGGCTTCCTCTACCAGCTGGAACAGGAAGCCCTGCTGGACACTCTGCTTTACCTGGGAGGAGTTTCTGGATCGACATGGTAACTAAGCAACCAGCCGTATTTCCTCAGATGAGCTGGAAACTAATGGGAAGTAGAAACAGGCTGAAAACCTCTTTTCCTTCTTCATAATCCATCCTTCCAGCTTTGGAGTTTAATCCTTTGATATTTATTTATTGTAACATCCAGACAGCTATGCAGAAACAGTGACAGCTTCTAGTATCAGCTTTTCTGACCTGATGGCTCCACATCTCCCTCCTCTCCACCGACACGCTGCTTGGCCCCGCCCACCAGAAACCCTAGAAAGAAGAAGCACCTGGAGCTAATTAGAAGCTAACTGAATGTTTGTTGTGTTGAAGCCGGTCAGTCATCAGTCTGCTGCTGTGCTCAGCTGCAGGTAGAGCCATCTAGATCAGAGCTCTCAGACCCCCCCAGCTCCGGTAACGAGATCATATCAGTCAGAGGTTTCTGTCTGATGAAGCAGAGAGAAACCTAAAAGCTGCAGAACCTTCAGGGAATTCAGACCAGCGATCTAAAGCCGTCGGGACGGTTGGTCTGAGGAAGTTCTGGATTCTTCTTCCAACACTTGGAGGCTGGAAGAGTCATCAGCTATAACCTCCTGACATTTTCCCTTTTAATATAATATGATGCAAGTTTTGAAGTAAAATATATTTGGTGCTAGAAGAAAGTATTCTGGAGAGGAAACTCAGGCTGCAAACACATCAATATTTAATGGTCTTCAACGTTGAATTCGTGCAGCTGCTGCGCCCCTGGCCTCCCGTCAGCAGGAGGCCTCACTCTGAGCAGCAATAGCTGGTTGCTCCACGTTTATTGGTCAGTTTCAGGATGTTCAGCCCTTTATTCTGCTGCTAATCATCAAAATGAAATGAAGCATCTTTCAGCTTTAGATCCAGAATAAGAACTAAAGGGAATCATTTCCAGGTGTGATTCTACAGTCTCTGATATCCTGGTTCCTCCTCAGGTCAATGGCCTCGCTCTACAGTGACCCCCAGTGGAGCTCCAACATGGATGAAGCCGTGTCCAGGCTGTCGGGTCCCGGCGTGCAGCTGGAGGAGGCTCTGGCCTGGTTGGCTGAGACCTCAAAGGAGGAGCACTTCTCCCTCTCTGACATCTGGGGAGTCCTAACCTCTGCCGGTATCATGAAACAGGTTGGACATGCGAACACCTTGAGCTCCCAGGTGTGATGATTCTTTACAGAAAGTCGGTATACGTCCTCAGATGGATCTACGCCTTCTGTCAGAGGAGGCCAGCAGGAACGCCAGCAACCCTTACCCCATCTACTGCGCCATCGAGAAACACTGCTTCTCCAACGGGCCGCTGGGAGGTAAACACTCACCGCCGCTGGAGGAGGGGTTGACCTTTCTGAAGGGTGAAGTCGTCTCCTTTGTCCTGAAGGGAAATGGTTCGAGGTGAGTCCCCATGAGGCCGGATTCACCGAGCTAGAGCTCTTCGTTCACACGCCCCTGTTGGGGAGCAAGTTCCAGAATGGGGAGCTGATAGAGAAGAAAGCAGAGATGGACATGGTCAGACTCCAAGGTGAGTCCTGAAACCTCCCATTCTCTGAACAATGGGCCGAGATCCTCAGAGACGGACATGGTCAGACTCCAAGGTGAGTCCTGAAACCTCCCATTCTCTGAACAATGGGC